CTACAGAGTGGGAGCAATTTCCCTGTAATTGGTAAAGTAACCGTAACTGCTCTGTCATTTGTATGTAGCGACACATAATTGCACGGTAACCTTTGCCGCTGTGCGCGAGGGAAGCGCAGGAAGCTATTAGATTGTAATTTGGAGTGTCAGCTCTGGCTCTCCACACCACCTCCGCCACCACCGCTGGGGAGGCTGCCGTGGGGCCTCTGCGTCCCGGGGCCAGTAGGGCCTGCTCAGAGTGGCTGTGCTTTCTCTCCCCGGGCCTGGTCTGTGGCGCCCCTGGCAAGGAAGGGGACCTCCATGGCGATGATGCAGGTCCCTGAGTCTCACTTCCAGGGGTCCCGATCCAATAGATCCAGAGGCCATGCAAGAATTTGTGTTTCTTTCTTTCCTTTTTTTTTTTTTTTTTTTTAAAGACACAGAGAGAGTACGTGCACATGTGCAAACAAGGGAGGGGCAGAGGGAGGGAGAGAGGGAGAGAACCCCAAGCAGATTCCACACCTGGCTGGGAGCTGATCTGGGGCTACATCTCACCAGCCATGAGATCATGACCTGAGATGAAATCAAGAGTCAGACGCTCAACCAACTGAGCCGCCCCGGTGCCCCAAGAATTTGCATTTCTGATGAATAACGCTAAATGTTCTGGATCTTACACTATTCCTCTGTTCCTTCCTACAGCCTCATAGGCCTCGTAGATCTTTAGGAAGTACCACTTTTGAAATTTCATCTTGATAACATTAGTCTTCTTAGTTGTGATAACACCTCTCTGAGGTAGATACCATGAATTTCCCTAAAAACATGAGCCTCCCAAAGGTTGTCTGAATTGTCTAAGGATGACAAACGATATGAGCTAACATTCCCATAGCACTTAGGGAGCGTCAGACAGTGTTCTACGTGCATTAAATCATGTAATCCTTACCACAGCACTCGGAAGTATATACTCATATTATTATCCCCATTATACCAATGATAAGCTGAGACACAGAGAGGGTAAGTGACTTGCCCAAGGTCACACAGTGCTAAGTGGTGGAGCTGGGATTCAAATCTAGACATTCTGATTCTAGTTCCTCAGTGTTAACTACTGTGAAACTCAGGCTTTTATTTGCTCATCCATCCATCCATCCATCCATCAATTTAACATCCGTCTTAACCTTCTATGAAGCTAAGGCCACAAAGACACATGGTCCTGTGTTTGAGCTCATGGGCCCTGGAGTCCTGTGGATCACAGGTCTTAATTTATAAGCCATGTACCCGTGAGGACATTTGTGGAAAGCGAATTTGAGATCTTCCTGATTGGGGCAGAAGGGTGTGGGCCCTGGCCTATTCACAGGGTTGCCCAAAGAGACACCACATATATTTTCATGGAACAGATCCTTATTTTTGCCTTGATAAGAATGAAGCTGCTCTCTAATAAATAAGCATTATACCAATGGCCAAAGCTCATTTGTGGGCATTTGTGGAGCAGCTGAGGGAGAGTTGTGGCTGGGCTCCTGATTACAGTGGGGTCCAGTCCACTCCTGGCTCCTCTGGCTGCCACTCTAATCTTGCTGTTAATGGGGCCCAGGGGAGGCTCGGCCAGGGCAAGAGCAGACACTCTCCTCCCCCACTGCCCAGGGTGTTCTGGAATCCACACCAGCCCTCACCTGTCGAAGGCTTTCACCAATTAGCCTTTTCTTCCAAGGCCCACACGGCCCTGGCATCTGCTCCTTACACCTCAGCCTCCCGGGTCTGTGGGCCCTGTGGGGTCTTCCCTCCTCCTCCCCCTGGTGCTCTAATTACCCTGTGGCTGCTCAGACCCAGCATGGTGGTGTCCTTAGAGAGCCTGCTCTGGTCAGGAGCCACGCTAGGGGCACTCCCTGCAGCCATTCTGTCCCTGTTCTGGGCCAGATTTCCATTAAAAAAAAACTAATATGAAATATCACCTTGAATTGACAAAGTGCTTTCCAGTTTACCCAGTGTCTTCACTCCCGTTTTCTCACCTGGCCCTCATGACAGTCCCGTCTTGCTGTATTACAGTCAAGGGGAAGTGAGGCTCAGAGAACAGGAATGCTAAGTTGTATAGTTAGGAAGCAAGCTGCCGTGTGAACCCAAGTCATGTGTTTTTTTTTTTTTTTCTGTTATTTTAGTGTTAAAAACCCTCTTCCCGTTGCCCCTGCTTTGAGGAAACAAAGAGCAAGGACCCCTTGTGCCATAGCATCCATGCAGACCTGGGCTGCACCTGGTCAAAGGCCTTGCTCACATCTCTATCACCTGGGGCCCTATGTAGAGGGAGAAACCCATGCAAGGTGGGGCGTGGGAGAAAGCCATCATTGTCCCTGGAATCCCAATGTCACATTGGGAACTCCAGCTGCAGCCTTGGCCTTCTCGGAGCCTGATGATGACACCCTGAGGTAGGCAGTGTCAGGCACAGGTGAGCTGACCAGCTGCCTCCCTCTCAGGGAGCTGTCACGAGCCAAAGACAGGCAGAGCCCTGGCCACCAGGCTTCCAGGCTGGGCTGTCCTTGCTTCTTCCCAGTGAAAACATGTCTCCCTGGACCCCTTGCTGCTCAAGGTGCCAGAGTGGCAGAGACTTGCTGCCTCTGAGCAAGCAATGATTTAATGCTGCAATTGGCCAACTCTTTGTGTAGGTGGTTGTTTATTTATTTGCTTGTGTTTTGCTCAGCCAAGGGGAAGAATGGTATTCAGTTACTGACCACTCAGAAATGTAATTCTGAGGGCTGAGGAGCCTAAGTCTCCCAGGTCAGTGAGGCACGCGTTTGTGCCAAGGGTGGTGGGAGACTGTCAGACATGGCCTGCCTTGCTCCCTGCCTTAGTTTCTCCTTGTGTGGCGTGGCCAACCATTTAGCCTTATCTACTTGGTAAATGGTTCATAATAGGCAAGATATGTTTGCTAATGGCAGAAGTCTCTGTGGCACAGCTTAGAGCCAAGAAACTTGGGGACAAGGGCTCCTTATGAAGTGGAGGCAGGAACATGCAAGGCCATGAGGATTCCCAGCATGCCTTAAGCCTCCCCTGACATGCCTTTCTGGCAGGTCACCCTACCATTATATCTGGCAGGGAGAAGACACCATCCTCCCTTTATCTGGATTTTTCTTTCTTTGTTTCTTTCTATCCCTTTTACCCTCCACCACCTGTCTCCTCCCCCATTTTCTCATTTTAGGAAAGAACCATAAAGATGAGACTAGACCTTGAAAGCTTGCTCCTAGCTTTGACTTCTTATATTGTTTTCTAGCGGGGAGGAGCTGAGGGTCGTGTTTGGCCTGGGCTATTTGACCAGACCAAGCAAGAAAGGCCAGGGGGGATCAAAGGCGTGGAGCAGACATCTGCTCTGCACGTGGCTTGCCCGGGCCTTCCCCTGCTCTCTCCAGCCCTACCCTGACTGCCCCCATGATAAGAAGTAGGGGAGAGGTCAGGGAGAGGTTTTAGATGCTCAGCGTGTTGTCTTTCCTGAGATGGACAATCTTGCTCCCTCCATTCTAGGAGGGAGCCAAGGGGTCCCCCAAGTCTCCGGAAAGCTCAGAGTTGGCCACTTTCACATAGCTTTGCTGGCAAGAGCCTGCCTGCTGGTTCTCCAGATGCCTTTTCCTTTGGCTGGATTGAAGCCTTTAAAAAAGTGACACCTTGTATTTTATTTCACTCCTTTTTCTGCAAAGTCCAAAGACGTTTACAGGCATGAGCTCTATAGGCTTTATGGAAACCCATCAAAAAGCAGGGGTTGTTTCCTTCATCTTTATAGAGTGGAAAATAAAAGCACAGGAAGACAGAATAGCTCTTCTAAGGCCACACAGTTCTTCTTAGAAGGAGAGAAAAATCAGCGTAGGTTCCTAGAGCCTCGGAGAGGTCTGTGCCAGACCAGAGCTGTTTGGTGGTGGTGCTGGGGGCCCCTTGCCAGCCAGGGCAAGGTCTTCTCCACTTCCCAGTAGGACAGAACCCAACTGTGACCCTGTGCTCATGTGGGGATCTGGGAGCCTGGAATAAAACAGGGCGAGATTCAGCCAAAATGGGCCAAAGGTTTTTCCTGTTGGTTCCCTGGCTCCTGACACTGTCTGGGATTCAGGAGCAAGAATTGGATCCATGAGTCTCACAGAGTATCTAGGGGATATTCTCTTTAAGGAATGCTAACAGGTGTCCCAGTCATTTTTAGGGAATATAATGTTTGGGAAAGGCTAAAGGAATGTTAAACATATTTCTTCTTAAAAAGACTTTTCAGACCTTTCCTATAATTGTTATGAGCCTCCTACATAGTGTTAGAATGTACTATGTTTCAGTACAAAATAATTTGCCCAAGGAGCCCTGTTTTCGTAGAGCATCTTGGGGGGCTTGGCTTCCACAGAAGACACTTTGGCAAATGCTGGTGTAGGTGTGACAAGGCCAGGGTTGTCCACCTTCACTGTGGTTTTGAAAAAGGCAGGGCACTTGAGATGGGGCATCATGAGGTACCACTGTGGTTTGTTGAGTTGTTTGTGAGTCTTCCACCTCTCCTATTTCTCTTTCCCCAACTGATTTTCTACACATGCTTCTGTCATGATATTGTCATTCACATGTTAATGTTTCTAGTTCTCTATTCTACACTCTTGAGTCTTCCTCTGTGGTCTGTTCAATAGGAAGGGTAGATGTGGAGGCCATGTTCCCTCTTATTCCTAAGCAGAGCTGCCTGGAGCCCATGCTCATGGGTGCTGGCCCAGTGCTTTCCGATGTGACAGTGATGATGGGCCATCTAAGTTACCAAGATGGTGCCCGGAGGGGTTGGAGGGGGGGCAGAGAGACCATGGAGGCCAAGAGAGGAAAGAGACTCTAGGGATCTGTATTTTTTTGCCATGGTCCTACCACCTACTTAGGTTGACTGTTAACAGGTCACCTAGTTTCCCTGGAGCTGAGTTTTTCTTGTATAAAAGGATTCTTCTAGCCCTGTAGTTCCCTGACTCAGTATTTCTGCTTATTGCCCTGATGTTTCCTCCTAATTTTTCATTTCTTTCTTTTTTTTCTTTTTTAATTTTCAGCTCTTAACCATTGATGATAATTTCTGTGGCCTGGATATGAATGCCCCCCTGGGCGTGTCTGAGATGGTGCGTGGCATTCCCGTCTTCACGGAGGACAGGGACCGCATGACTTCTGTCATTGCCTACGTCTACAAGAATCACTCTCTGGCCTTCGTGGGCACCAAAAGTGGCAAGCTGAAGAAGGTAGGAATGAGATGCCGTCGTTTTGGTTATTGTGAAGGCAATCTATCCCCGCCGGGATAGACATTATCTCATGCTTTCTTACTACTTTGGGCCTGGTGGGCAAGTGATACAAGTTTGAGCTAAGGAGATATGTTGCTCTTGAAGTCATGAATGACAACCTGCCCCTTCTCTGCCTCAAGGTGGAGGGTTATCGTGGGCATCACAGTGGGTGAATGTGCAGACTTACTTCTTCCCTAGGGCTGGTATGCACGTGGAGGAGTTACCCCGGCCTCACTAGGCCATCCTAAATGGTGTGCTCTGTCCACCTTGGGTTCGTGCGCTAATGCAAAGGCTTTCTAAGGGCTGGGTGACTGGGGAAGGTGGGCAGGGGCGAGGAAGGTACCTTTTCCTCTCGCCTCAGCCCTTTTGACTGGTGCATCCATCTGGAATCCATGCAGGGAAACAGATGGGGGGAAATTCAGGACCTGCTAGAGTTGGCGACAAGGCTAAGAGCCAGATCATGGGGTGAGGAAACCGTGGACATTATTGGAGCATAGAAATTGTTTGAGGTGGAGTAGAATGGTGTGATCTGAGACATGAGCCTTTCCTCCTCGTCCTCCAGAAGTTGCTCACCTCAGGTGCTGGCTGATGTTGGCCCATCAGCAGTTTGGGGGCACCTTTCTATCCAGGACTCTTCTCTCACCTGTTATCCTTCTCAGGCTTCTCATCTCAACGAGTTAGAGCTGGTGCCCTCAAGAGCCCCCTTGATTGGATCAAAAGCCTTCCTAAGACTAAGCAGTATGTCCTGTTTTATGTTGACTGATAGTCTTGTCCCAGGGAAATATTGGTGAACCCACGTGGAGCTCCTGCTTGTTTTATTTAATAGGCTTCCCTTGGAATTCTCTGGATATTGTGTGATTTACATCGAGAGAGTGGCACTGCCAGACCTGAGACAGCCTTGAGTTCTGCTTTCTCTTTGCCGGGTTCCTGGGTATTAGCTGGACACGGTCAAGGGGAAGTGCTTTTGGCAAATCTAGAAGACTTTGCCGACTCTCCCATCCTACTGTGTAATGGCCTGGCAATAATTTCTTTCTTTAAATTCTACAACTCTTGGAACAGGCAGCGGGGCTGGTGTGTGAGAGTACGGAGGGGGAGAGCCAGGGGGAGGTGTGTGTGCGTTGGGAGATGTGTGGGGAGTAGTTGCATGGGTAGTATCTGGAAGAGGAAGCCTGTGTTGGTGAAATGCCATAATGCTCCACAAGGATGATGCAGGCGGTGTGCTACCGTCTGGTACTGCCCAAAGAGGTAACCAGGAAATTGTAGTGTATGGCCTTACACGTCTAAACAATGACTAATTCAACCATCATCTACATAGCTTTAAGAATTATATTTCATAGTTCCCTGCCTCTCTGTGAAGAATGTATTAAACACAGTTGAACGTTTTGTTGCTACCTTGGCCTCCTTGTTGTGATTACTGCTCACGCATCGAAATGAAGCTGGTGGACGCCCAAGAAGATGCTGCGTGCAAGGCGTAGATGCGTTGTCCTGGCACGACTCCTGTGTCTGGTTGTCGCTGCCTCCTGCCTCTTCCTTTAGTGCACATCGTCGCTCGTCACCTCCAGCTGCTGTCAGGAACCCTGGGCGACTCCGGTCTTTCTTCTTCCCTTCATCTGTGGCTTCTAGCTTTCTGTGAGCTGAGTGTCCAATATCCAAACTTGCTGAAATTGTGTCCGCTAAGCCTCAGTATAAACCGAGGAGGGAAGCACCCAAGCTTTGGAGCAGGGGCCTCGAGGGTGTTTCTGTTGGGTGCTCAGATGGTTTCATTCTTTATTATGATTCAGTGAGTTTGGTTTGCTAGAAAAGTGAGTTCTAAATACCAAAGGCATTCCCATATGCAGTTCATACAATGAAATGTCTGTTGACCTGCTCCGCCTGGCCCGATGGGTGAATAAGCACTATTGAGAGTAAAAAATAAGCAAGACAATTTGGGCTGCCTTAACTCTTCTCTCTAGTGAGCCCTGTCTCTGTGCAATGGAGAAGTAACTTACCTCAGTATGCTAAAAGATTCCTGTCCATTGACCTTCCTACTCGGTGCAGCAAGATCATTTACTTTCTGGCAAGACTGAATAGATCCTGGAGGAGGCTTTTTTTTTTTTTTTTTTTTTTTTTTTTTTTTTTTTTTTTTTTTTTTTTTTTTTTTTTTTTTTTGGTCATTGAGCTGGTCAGAATATGGTGTCCATGAAATAAACATTGATTGAGAGTTCAGTGCACATAACAGAACAGTTATTCTCTCTCGGGGGAGAAAAAGAGACATGCTCCCTGGCCATGGCTGCATTGTAAACCCAAGACAGTCAACTTGCAAATATGTGCTGTTGGTCAGCGGGTGGATGGAGGTCAGTGGGGGCTGGCTGTCTGGTGCCCGTGGAAGCCTGGCCCCTGATGGGGAGGTCAGAGTGCAGCAGATCCCCATGACGGTGGCTGAGGATGCCTCTGGGAATCTGGGCACACAGAGCGCACAGGGACAATCCTTGTGGGGTAGGCTGTAGGCAGATCCTTGCCTTCAGGTGTCCCGGGAGGTCGGCCCAGCCAGCAACGACAGGCATCTGACCAGGAGGCTCGAGACTTTATAAACCTCCGCCGGCATTTCCCATTTTTTACTTTGGGGAGTTTATATAAGAACAGTTCTGTTTCAGCCACCTGGGATGTTCCATTTAATTTCCCGAGCAGTGGTGGGATTGGTGAAGCATAAACATTTGAGAGGTAAAGAGCAGAGAGGGTCATGTGGGGGGAATGAGCCAGTGGTCCTCCTGGGGAAAGCTGGGCCATCGGGGCAGCTAAACTTTCTGCTCCATGAGCTCAGAGTGGCAGACTTTTTAATAGTTTTGCTGGAGCTCAGCTACTGCCGCTGCAGACTCAGCACAGCTGGCCCAGGGGACAGTCGGAGTTGAGAAAGGAAGGCTGGGCCGCCGAGTCTGTTGTTTGAAATAACAAAAAGCAAAACTGGCCAGTTTATTTATTTTTTCTGAACAATAGAATTTCCCACCACCCCTGCTCACTGAGCACTAACCACTCCCCTTTCCTTGCCATGACTCTGTATTGCTTTTCCCAGAGGTTATCAGACCACATTCACCTTTTGGGCAGAGGCCCAGCCATGAAATGCTTTGGGGCTACAGGAGGATTTTGCGGGAAGTTTTGTGAGCTACTGCAACCAGGGGGTGAGAATAATGGAGATCACACTGTAGCCATAATTACAGAGTTGTCTTCTCCGAGCCCTGTAATAATCTCCTGTGTGTATCAAGGGCTTCGCAGGGTTCTTTGCAATATGACAAGGGACTCGAGGTGGGGAGGGTGGGTGGGAGGGCTTGGGGGTTTGCTGTGGGTTTCAGGGTCTGGGAGCTAGACTGTAGCTATCCATAAGCTGCCCTCAAAATTACTGACTTTTCCTTTTGTTTGAAAGGTGTGGGTCCCCATCATTTGCAACCTAGCCTCTGATGACCATAATTTCACTCTTTTAGCGCACACATCACATGAGGCAGAGGGAAAGGAGGTGAGGAAAGTGCCAATTTGGATGTCTTTTATGTTTTCCGGTATGTGAGTGTGTGTGTGTGCGCGCGCGTGTGTGTGTATGTTATGGCTAGTATTGGCAGCTTTTTCATGGTGAGCATTACAGGCAAGTGCTGGTAAGTAATGTGACATATAAATGCTGACATATAAATAGACACCAGGAGGTACCTAGGAACTTAGAAATAACCCACAGACTGTTAAAATTTCACCTGCAGGTAAAAAATCTTAAGGCAAACACCATCCCGATCTGCTTTAGGGTGTCTGTATAAACCTGACAATCTTTGTCCCAGGATGGGGTAATGAGGTCAGTGTGACAAAAATCTCTTTGCTTAAATACTTGGGCTGGAACCCTCTTTCCTTGCCTCTTGCATTCCTACCACTAAGTGATCCTATTTTATGGCTGCTGTTCAGCAGTGAATTACTGCCTGACATTAGTGGGAGAGACTAGTGTTCATTGTGAGCCAAAACATCGTAAACTTCCACTTGACGTGTGATTGCTCCTTTCATTTGGTGAATGCATCGTTCCTGAGTGTTTCGCTAGGTTAAACTATTCACACCTAAGGGGCGGAGTACTTTGTGGATACTGGTTAAGCAGAAGTCTGGCTGGCCCAGCCACTGGCTTGTAGTATGATATGTACCCAGGTGTGTGACATACCAAGCCTTACCAGCCTCTCGTGATAGGAATTGAGTGTGTGTCTGCATGGAACGTCAATAGGAGTCGATGTCACAAAAGAATCATTCTCATTGGGAATCATTATGCACATTAATTTAATCTGCCTATTTTTTTTTTCTTGACCCTGTTTTGAAATCAGTTTGCTTGTGTTCCATATCCCCTGATCATGGATCAAGAAGGGCAAATAAACAGAAGTAGAGTGAGGTAGAGGGAGACCCACCTGGGTCTGTGTCATTCTGACCATAAGTTCTCAGCAATGGATGCTGTGTGTGTGTGTGTGTGTGTGTGTGTGCGCGCGCGCGCCTGCACGTGATGCTCACATCAAAGAGCAATATCAGATTAGAGATGTATAGCCCCTGCTTTGCAACTTCCTGAATGTGTCTGAGAATTCTTAACATTCACCTGGAAATCTGAATCAACTTTAAAACTAAATTCATGCCATAGAAAGGACTCCCAAGTGGGTGAAGACATCACGAAATCAGATGGAGAGGTAGTGTTGGAACTCAAACTTGCCTGGGGACCCTGAGATTAGAGCACAGGTGCAGGTATCTGGTAAAGGACTTGGTCAGTGAGCTCTGCAGAGCTGCTGGCTAGTTTGCGTGTGCTTAGGCACTCAAGCAGAAGGGAAAAGAAATATGGAAGAATCAATGCTGGACAATTTCCATTATGGAAAAAGACCATCAAAGCATTTTTGTCTGATTGTTTTGTCATGTTGTTTTTGCACTTCCCACTGCTGGCTTTGCAAGTATGAAGCCTGTATAGATCTTAAGCCATGGGTTCAGTG